GAGGCATGGACACAGAGAAGAGGTAACTATTGGGAGGAAGTGATAGGGGAGCTGTTGCATTGTGGTAAGTTGTATTCAATGTCATGAGAAAAGTTTATGTGAACTGCTGTATGGAAAGTGAATTTGCCCTGTGAACTTTTACCCAAATCACAATTTTAAAAGATTGTTTTATCTGCATATCACAGGTTGTTAATGAGTCTTCCTCCAATTTTGATGTTGCATTCTTTTCATATAGTCCAACTTCTGAGATTATTTGTTCAGCATAAAAATTGAGTAAGTATGGTGAAAGGATACAACCATGACACACACACATCCTTCCTGATTTTAAACCATGCAGTATCTCCTTGTTCTTTTTGACAGCCTCTTCGTCTATGTACAGGCTTCTCATGAGCAAAATTAGTTATTTTAGAATTCCCATTCTTCACAAAATTATCCGTAATTTGTTATGATTCACACAATGAAATGCCTTTGCATAATCAATGAAACACAGGTAAACATCTTTCTGGTATTCTTTGCTTTCAGCCAAGATCCATTTGACATCAGCAATGATATACTTCATCCTATATCCTCCTCTGAATCTTTTGTTTTACATTCTTTCCTCCTATTACAGTGGATATACTGATAGTTTTCCAGTCTAGGCCAACCTCTCCCCTTTTGCACTAGATCCCATCCCCTATCCCCTGTCCCCTACCCCAGGACTTGACTCTTGCAAGTACTCCTCTCTTTTCAGCATATCGTTGTCATTAGAGTCTACAAACATACTGTAGAATTGCCTATCTTAAAAAACAAACAAACAAACAAACAAAACTCCAGCCACACCCACTGCTCCAACTTCTATCCTACTTTTGCTCCTTTCTAACAAAGCTCATCAAAAGAATTATTTCTACTTGCTCACTCTACTTCCTAGTTTTTCATTGTCTCTTGAACCCTATGCTGGTCAATCTTTATTTCTTACACTTTGCTTGGAAACCCAAGGAGGGGTCATTATGAGTCAGGTCCAACTCGATGGCACACAACAACTACAAAGGTCACCAATTACCTATGTGTTGTGAAATTTTCAGTCTTCATCCTAGTACCCTACCTCTCAGTAATATTTGGCAGAGTGGATCACTCCCTCTTTTAAACACTTTCTTTATTTGATATCTAGAACATTTTCTTCTGAAATGTGGCCTCAATCTTTTACTGGTTGCTTCTTCTTGTTTTCCTTTGCTGTATCCTTCTCATCTTCCAACCTTTAAATTTTGGTGGGCTCTGTTCTCAGTCGTCAAATTGATTTTCTTTCCTTTACCTGTACACATCCCTAAAAAACTCACTTACTGCCATTGAATTGGTTCCAACTCACAGCACCGCCTCTTTGGGTTTCCAAGGCAGTATCACTACAGAAGTAAATTGCCCAGTCTTCCTTTTGCAGAATGGCTGGTGGGTTTGAACCACACCAGCCCTCTGGTTAGCAGTCAAATGGCTTAGGCACTATGCTGTCAGAACTTCCTAGGTGATCTCATTTAATCATGTGGCTTTAAATACCATCTGTCCCTTGTGACTCCCAAGTTAAAGACATAACTTCTGAGCTGAACACCACACTCATATATTCAACTGCCTTCTCCATATATCTACTTATATTTTTAACACCAAAACAAAAATCGAACCCATTGAGGCAGAGTCAATTCTGAATCATAATCACCCTATAGGACAAAGTAGAACTTACCTCAGGGTTTACATGACTGTAATCTTTACAGGGGAAAAAAAAAAAAAAAACCTCACTGCCACTGAGTCAGATCTGACTCATAGTGACCCCTCCTTGGGTTTCCAAGGTAGTATCTGTACATAAGTTGATTGCCCAATCTTCCTTCTGAAGAGTGGCTGGTGGCTTTGAACCACTAGCCTTCTGGTTAGCAATCAAATGTCTTAGTCACTACACCACCAGAGCTCCTAATCTTTATAGAAGCAGACTGTAATATCTTTTTCCTATGGAGCAGCTGGTAGAATTGAGTCACTAACCTTTCAGTTAGCAGCCAAGAATTTACTGTGTGATGAATTGGCAGCTTAAATTTGATGTGTCCAAAACAGTTTCCACCATCAACCTATTCCTTTCCCAGTATTATTCACTTCAATAAAGGACACCTGAACTCACCAAATTGCTCAAGCTACAACCCAGGAGTCATTGATTACTCCTATCTTACTCTTATACCTCACATCAAAATATTCAAAATTAAATTAAGCTTTACCTCTCCACCATGGACTCTACCACAAGCTTCACCACTCTTACCCTAATCCAAACCACTTAATTCTAACCACATTATGTCTTGCTTACACTACTGCAATAGGCTCCCAAATGGTTATCTTGCTTCCGCCTATACTTTCCTCACCATCTGGCACGGAAACCAGAGTATTCTTTTTAAAAGGACATGTGACCAAATCATTCTCATATTCAAAACCTCCCATCCTTCCTAATTAAAACACACACACACAAAAAAAAAAAAAAAAAAAAAAAACCTTACACCACCTAGAATAAAATCTGAAATTTTTATGGTAGCCTCCAAGGTCTTGTAAAATCTGGGCCCTGAGCACATCCTATGTAATACAACACTCCCCCACCACCACCTCAGACACCTTCTAGTCCTTTAAACTTCTTTTATTGTTCTTCATTACACTTGACTACCTACTGTCATTTTATATACTTAATTTTAAGTATTTATTTACTTAGTTATGAGATCAGGGATTTGACTCTTCCTATAAGGTTCTGCAGGCCTAAAACAGTGCCTAGTAGTAGGGAGCTCTGGTAGTGTAGTGCCTAAGGGACTTGACTGCTAACCAGAAGGCTGGCGGTTGAAACCCACCAGCCACTCCTCGGAAGGAAGACTGGGCAATCTACTTCCAGAGTGCTACTGCCTTGGAAACCCAAGGAGGGGTCACTATGAGTCGGGTCCGACTTGACGGCACATAACAATAACATAAGCATGTAGTAGGCCCTCAGTAAATGTTTTTTGAATTTATAACACACTTTGAAAATTAGCAATCTATTAAGTCCATACTCCTCAATTTGGCAGGGAAGGCCCCACACAGTAAGACTGTAATTTAACTTTGCTGCCTTTTATTTTAAAATAGAGCAGTAAGGAAAGTTGAGGACACATCCTGAAGTACATTGAATACAGACTGAAAATTTCTAGAGCTGGCACTATTGCTTTAACTTTAGAGAAGGATATTAGGACCAGTGGAGGTATAGATCCTCATGAAGTGCAAGTCTTCTCTCCAATCCTGTGAATGTGCTCAGCATGATCACAGAATACAGTTGATCCAAGAGTACTTAGAAAGACAATCCTATTATAGTTAAGCAGCTTTTTAAAAATATGAAGGTAAACCAAAGCTGATCCGAGAAAGGATACAAGAGAGAGTGCTGAATCTTAGGGGGCTTCTCCAGATCAGCATTTATACAGGAAGTTTGTATCACTTTACTGTATATAAATCTTTAGTGGCTCCCCATTGCTAGCTGATTGAAATATAAACTTCAGTCTTTTACTATGTAAGTCCTAGTCTTCCCTCCCACACTAAGTTCTTACTGTTTCTCTACATGTAATCAATAGCCCAGCTATTCTGTGATTATCTGAGTACCTTCTTCCTGGCTCTATACCCTCATTTCGTACTATCCCTCTGTCTAGAGTGGCTTCTATCTTGGAAAAAGTGTGAAAGCATTATCTCTTCCAAGAAAAGTTCAAATTAGCCAGGAAGGCATAAACTATCATTTCACTAGAGAATGACTTTTGCAACCAGTGCTTCACCTTGTTTCCTTTAATTACTGAATGGATGTTGATGGTAGATTGGCTAATAAGTATTTTTTAATTTGAATAAATATTACCAATAACTTTTCCACTCCCTTTCCGTGCCCCTAACATCTCTCGGAAACCCAATAGGGGTCGTTATGAGTCGGAATTGACTCGATGGCAGTAGGTTTGGGGTTTTTTTTGGTTTAACATCTTCCGTTAAGTATTACCAAAAGGTTCATAGCAGATACATTGTAATCAGCATTCATATTCTAATAATATGAAAAGTGCCATTCTAAAAATATAATTTTTAAGCAGACTATGGACAAGGGAGCTCTAGTGGTGTAGTGCCTAAGGCATTTGACCACTAACCAGAAGGCTGGCCGTTCAACCCCACCAGCTGCTCCTCAAAAGGAAGATTGGGCAATCTACTTCTGTAGAGATACCGCCTCAGAAACCCAAGGAGGAGTCGCTATGAGTTGAATCGACTGGAGAGCAGTGTTTTTTGTTTTTTGTTTTTTTTATGAACAAACAAACCAGCCATTTTAAAGATGATTTAGTATTGCTTTTAGAATAAATAAGGAGCTCTGGTAGCACAGTGCCTAAGGCATCTGACTGCTAAACAGTAGATTGGTGGTTCAAACCCACCACCCACTCCATGGAAGGAAGAGTGGGCAATCTACTTCTATAAAGATTTACCACCTCGGAAACACAATGGGGTCTCTATGAATCATAATCGACTCAATGGCAGTGGGTTTGGTCTTTGGTTTTTTTGGAATAAATAATTTACCTTATCATTCTAGAAGCTTCATAATGGAGGAACTATCTTACAGTTTCATATCCACATAACATTAACCTAGTGCCTTTTCTACAGTAATACTCAGTTGTTATTGAAGAATTGAGTGGAGCCCCTTGAAACAGATTGCTGGTTCCTGAGTAAATTATAAGGTGACCAGATATCTGAATAATAAACTTTTATTTTAAGCACTTCAGCAACTAAATTATCTCAGTTTTTGTGGTAATATGCTTTACTATTTGGCATTAAACCTTGAAAACACTGACTTGATTCTCTCATGCAAATGGGTTCAGCCATATATCCAACTGTAGTTTATTCTGTGGTCAGGGCATAGAAGCAAGCAGAAGGAGTTTGTCAATAAAGAAGGGCACCATGTCTTCATCTGTAAGAGCACATACACTAAAAAAGAACATTTTGAATTAATAAGATTTTTTTTCCACCTCTAGGGACCAAGAGGGCCAGATGGTCTGTCAGGGGAACAAGGTATACAAGGTGCCAAGGTGATCATTGGTTTTTATCATTTCATATGCAATTATTTTTTATTAAGCCCATATGTCCTACCTCCTTAAAAAATGTTTCCTTACAAAAGTATAGTTCTGAATTTTCTCTTAATCCAGGTTTGAAACCTACATAATTGTTTTACTATGCAACTATGAAAATGTTTTATTTTCAATATTGAACCATATATTTGATGCCTTATTTTTTATAAAGCTATAATGCTATCATGTGTAAGACTATAACTCACATTCTTACCAATTTGCCTGATATTGATACTTTGCTAGGGTGAAAAAGGAGATCAAGGAAAAAGAGGGCCTCATGGTCTTATTGTGAGTAATAAAACATTTCACATTAAGCATAAGCATTTAAAATCTACCCTGTAGTATACAATCTAGAGAAATAAGAACCATAGCATGAACAGCCATGCACACTCATGTTCCTTGCAGTATTATTCACAATAGCAAAAATATGGAAATAACTTAAATGGCCAACAATGGAGGAATGGATCAACAAACTATGGTACATTCACATAATAGAATAATACACAATGTTAAAGAACAATGATATGTCTGTGAAGCATCTTATAAAATGAATTAGAGGGCATTTTGCTGAGTGAAATTAGTCAATCACAAAAGGACAAATACTGTATGAGACCACTATGGCAAAAGTGAAAAGGATTTCACAAAAAAAGAAATATTCTTTGATGGTTACCAGGGGTGGCTGGGGAAGGGAATTTAATCCACTAACTAGAGGGTCAATGCATATTAACTCAGGTTAAGGACAGTGCAAAATAATAATAATAATGAGGTAAAATGATAGTAATAATAAAATCTGCCCTGTTTATCTTATAGTGTGATTCAGATTTTGGGAGAAGGCTACTTGACCTAAGCATTTTCTTTTTGTGTAGGGTAAGACGGGAAATCCTGGAGAAAGAGGAACTCAAGGGAAAAAAGTAAGTAATGAAAAATAATCACGTTGAACAATTTTTATTCACTTTATCCTCTAGCACAGTTATTCAATATGTTGGACTTAGAGAATACAAGCTCTTTTCCTCCCTCAGTCATCATATCAGTGTTTTATTTTGGCAAATTGATTATCCATTCAGGGCCTTGTTTATTCCTATTTATAAACTAGTGGTGAAGATTATTATTTTAACTTTATCCTAGTTATGGTAATTTAGTTTTTTTATAAAATCCATTTCAAAATAAAATGGTATGCTCTGGTAGCATAGTGGTTAAAGCACTTGACTGCTAACCAGAAGGCTGACGGTTCAAACCCACCAGTCACTCCTCGGAAGGAAGATGACTGCTAACCAGAAGGCTGACGGTTCAAACCCACCAGTCACTCCTCGGAAGGAAGATGACTGCTAACCAGAAGGCTGACGGTTCAAACCCACCAGTCACTCCTCGGAAGGAAGATGGGGCAATCTACTTCCGTAGTGATACTGCCTCGGAAACCCAAGGAGGGGTCGCTATGAGTCAGGTCCGACTCTATGACACATAACAACAACAGCAACATCATATAAATATAAAATAATAGGGCATTAATAAAACTATAGCACAATAAGAAACTTCCTTGAGACTTCTTGTGTAATTTCTTTTTAACTCAATTGAGTGCTTTTTGGTCTTTAGAGTGTTGAGTTACGTGTACCACTTGCTTTCTCGTGGTATTATATGGTGTTAAATATTTTCCTGTAACAAAATCTTTTCAGAATTGTACAATGTTTTTTACAGAGGAAAGGGAACACTTTCTGTGGTTGTAGTCATAACTGAGGGAAAAATGTTTTATAAAAAGAGATCACATGCACACACATGTGCACACGTTTATATAAAATATTATTATATATTGTGAGTTAATAAGCTTAAATATTTGGGTATTCTTAATTTGACTGCTAATCAGAAGGCTGATGGTTCAAACCCACCAGCCACTCCTTGGAAGGAAGATTGGGCGATCTACTTCTGTAGAGATACTGCTTCGGAAACCCACGGAGGGGTTGCTATGTGTCGGAAATGACTCACTGGCAGTGAGTTTGGTTTGTACACTTGGAATCATGATTTTTTAATGATAACTTTTTGATAAAAGTTATATTTATATAGAGAGGTAGGTAGGTAGGTAGGTAGATAGATAGGCACTGTGGTAGCACAGTGGTTAAAACACTTGGCTGCTAACCAAAAGTTTGGAGGTTCGAACACACCAGTCACTGCACAAGAGAAAGATGGGCAGTCTGCTGCCTTACAGCTTTGGAAACCCTATGGGCCAGTTCTGTTCTATCCTTAAAGGGTTGTATGAGTCAGAATCAACTTGATAGCAGCGACATAGGCATATATATGTATATTCAAATATGTGTGTATGTGTGTGTGTATAGCTTAAAGTTAAAAATTAGATAATAATATAAATAGATTGCAACTGAAGAATCAGATAAAGGATAAAAAGCAATACTTAATTGTCACTAATATCATTGCTGGAGCTCTAGTGGCATAGTGCTTAAGGCATTTGACTGCTAATCAGAAGGCTAGTGGTTCCACTCACCAGCAACTTCTCAGAAGGAAGATTGGGCAATCTACTTCTGTAGTGATACCACCTCAGAAACCCAAGGAGGGATCACTATGAATCAGATCTGACTCCAGGGCAGTGAGTTTGGTTTTGGTTTATGTCCTTGCATTTGCATTGCATTTCCTCTTTGGGATCTGCTGCCCCCTGCCTGTTGTTTCCCACAATACCATCATATGTGTTATTGTTATGTGCCGTGGAGTGGGACCCGACTCATAGCGACCCCTCCTTGGGTTTCCGAGGCAGTATCACTACGGAAGTAGATTGCCCAACCTTCCTTCTGAGGAGTGGCTGGTGGGTTTGAACCGCCAGCCTTCTGGTTAGCAGTCAAGTGCCTTAGGCACTATGCCACCAGAGCTCCTAAGTGGCAGTAGTCAAATCTAAAATATCAGAGATGTGAAAAAGAAAAACTTGTCAAGGAAAGAAGAACTTGTGTGTAGCATTATATTCTTAATTGAAGTCAACTTCAAAGAACTTTCTTCAAGTTCTAATACTCACTGTCTGGGTTTCTGTTACATCAATGTAAATGATGTTTCTGTGGCATCGACCATTTTCTATACTGCGCACAAAGCTAATATGCTACGATGACTGGAGAAATTTGGAGCTTAGCAAAATCAGTCCTCTCGTTTTAGAAAAATGAGAAACACAGAAATGAAATTATTTACCCATTTTATACAATTTTGACATGCCTTAAATTTTTAGCTTCATTTCAGCTTATCACATATGCCTGGATAAATGTGAAATTTGATGTTTGACTTTCTCAATCAGTAAAAGATACCAGAACCACTTTTAACCACAGCTTATGGCAAGTGAGTCTCATAGACTACTGAAAGAGTACAGTTGCCTTAGTGAGTGACTTGGAAAAGACATTAAGTCCTGAATTTAGATTGTTGTTGAGGTTTACTTAACTCTGTACCTACATTATCTCTACTTGATTGAATTGAAATAGACTTTTGAGATTTGGGGGAAGCTAAGATCAATCAATACATGAAAGTCAGGTAAACCCACCAGGCAAGCCCCAAAGATTAATGTAATCCTGCTCAATAATCTTAGTGTCTTTAGACATCTATGCACTATCAACAAGCTTGTTCTTGTTGTTGTTGCCATCAAGTCAGACCCGACTCATAGCAACCCCTCCTTGGGTTTCCGAGGCAGTATCACTACAGAAGTAGATTGCCCCATCTTCCTTCCGAGGAGTGGCTGGTGGGTTTGAACTGCCAGCCTTCTGGTTAGCAGGTAGTGTTATATAATAGAAAGATTTAGTGGAAGTCAGATTGACTTCTTTTTCTAGTGCATGCTCCCAGTAACTGTGGTCATTGTTATTGTTAGGTGCTGAGTCTATTCTAACTCATAGCGACCCTATATACAACAGAACAAAACACTGCCTTATCCTGCACCATCCTTACAATTGTGCTATATTTGGGCCCATTATTGCAGCCACTGTGTCAGTCCATCTCATTGAGGGTCCTCCTCTTTTTTGATTACCCTCTACCAAATATGATGTCCTTCTCCAGTGACTACTGGCCCCTCCTGATAACATGTCCAAATCTCATGAGACAGAGTGTCACCATCCTCACACTTAAGGAGCATTCTGACCATACTCTTCCAAGACAGATTTATTTGTTCTGCTGACAATCCATGGTATAGTTAATATTCTTTGCCAACACCATATTCTAAGACACCAATTCTTCTTCAGTCTTCCTTATCCACTGTCCAGCTTTTGCTTGCATATGAGACGACCAAAATGTCAGGCTTGCCTTAGTCTTCAAAGTGATATATTTGCTTCTTAACACTTTAAGAATATCTTTTACAGAATATTTTCCCAATGCTTTGTAGCCATATGATCTCTGTGAAAACTAGTTAACTCTGTCATTGAAGTACAAAATCACCCATAAACAATTCATAGAAGAATGCACACGGATTTTTCATTCATACCGACTATGGGGCCTTGGTTAAATTGGTTTATCTCTCTGGATCTTATTATCTTCATTTGTAAAATAAAGTTATTTATAAGCTCTCTAAGACCCTCAGCTCTAAATTCTCATAATTCTAAAGCGATGTATTAAATAAAACTGGCAATAGATATTGTACTCTTAGTTCAAACAACCAGTAAAAATATATTTGTCTACGGGACAACACTGTTTCCTATACTTCTTCTATCCACACATAGATCTGATTCAAGTGGCAACTCAAGAGGAAGGGGCACAGTCCGTTTTGTTATTAAGATCATAAGCTTTGGTCACTACTTCTAGTTTTCTAAATTTTACAAAAAACAAAAGGTCATACATTATTAATTTTTTCTTTACATATTTTTCTTAATGAATGAGTGAGGTATGTTAAAGTCTCCAACTATGTTTTTATATTTGTCTATTTCTCCATCCTTTCCATTTCTACTTAATATATTATTAGTGTATCCACACTAATAGGTCTTCCTGATCGACTGACCCTTTTAATATTCTTAAATATCCATCTTTATCTCTGGTAATACTTTTTGTTTCTGCTAATACACTTTGTCTTGAAACCTACTTTATCTGATAATAGACTTATAGACTCTCCAGTCTTCTTATGCTTGCTGTTTTCATGGCATCTATTTTTCCATTCAAATACTTTCAACTTATCTATGTCTTTATAAAGTGAGTCTCTTCTACTTGGGTCTGCTTTTTCATTCATTTGACAATCACTGTCTTCTAATTAGAGAGTTTGCTCCATTTACATGTAGCGTAATTATTGCTAGGGCTGAATTTAAGTCTACTATTTTATAATATTTTTTCTTTATCTCTGGTCTTTCTGTTCAGTGCTTTCTTTTGGCATTGAATAATTTTGAGAATTCTATTTTAATTTACATATTGAATTTTTACATGTACTTCTCATTATTTTAAAATGATTAGTCTATATCTGAGGCAAACTTTTTCTGTAAAGGGCTAGAAACTAATTATTTTAGGCTTTGTGGCTATGTGGCATAGTGCCTAAGTCATTTGACTGCTAACCAGAAGGCTGGTGGTTCAAACCCACCAGCCACACCTTGGAAGGAAGGTTGAGAAATCTACTTCCATAGTGATACCACCTCAGAAACCCAAGGAGGGGTCGCTATAAGTTGGTTCTAACTGGACAGTAGTGGGTGGGTTTCTGGTGAGAAGTCTGCATTTATCTGTATCATTGTTCTCCTATGTATAATGTATCATTTTTCTAAGCTCTTAAGATTACCTATTTTGGCTGTCAACAGTTTTACTATGGTATGTCTGAGTAGTTTTTTCTCCAATTTATTCTGTTGAGCTTAACTGAGATTCCCAAGTTTATAAATTTGTATTTTCACTAAATTTGGAAATTTTGCAGACTTTTTTTTAAAGATTTTTTCTCCCCTATTCTCTCTCCTTTCTTTCTTGCATTCCAATTGCATATATG